CATTAGATGGCAGTATTATATCATTATCCACAACACCACCAGGAATAATTGAAGATTTCTCCCCAATAAATGGGTTAAAGTGACTTCAAAACATTCTACTAACTTACAGTGCTATTGGAAGTGATTTTGAAGAGTTACTCCTAAGGGCATTCTGCATCAAAAAATTAAAAATTCTGTGCACAATATTTTAAAATTCTGCAAATTTTGTCATATAAATGTGGAGGCTCCAGCATGGCATTGGGGAGCACAGGCAACTGCCTGCACAGAGGTAGGAGATCACTCTGCAGCTCCCCCTTGCCCCCTCTCGGGACATGGCTCAGCAGTGAGGCTGCACCCAACCCTGACACAGCACAAGGATCAAGCCTCCCCCAGACAGCATCCCAGGGCCCTGCCCCTATGTGCCAGGTGCACCAGGTGTGGGCAGGCAGGCTCAGCCTGGCAGGATCCAAGTGTGGAGGGACTTAGTGTGGGGGGATCCAGGTGTGCGTTGAGAGGGTTCTGTGTGGGGCAATCTGGGTGCGGGAGGCGATCTGGATGCACAGGGGCTTGTTGAGTGGTTCTGGGTGAAATGGTAATGGGGCTCTGCAGGGGGGGTCCAGGTGGGAGGGTCGGGGTATGAGGGGCTCTGGATGCATGGAGGTTGGGCGAATGGGAGAGCAGCTCCCCGTACAATGATCCCTCCCCCTGCAGCTGAGGAGCAATGGGTGGGGAGTTTGCAGAGCTTCCTATAGCCTGGGGAGAAATCTGGGGGTGGGTCTGACCCAGCCCCGGATGCCGTGGAGGGGAGGAGGAAGTCCCATCCTCCCCAGCCCAGCCAGACCTAGCAGCTGAGCCCAGTGCAGGGTAAGAGCCACCAGCTGAGTCTTCCCCAGTCCCGCGCCCCGCCCCACATTGATTTACTACTGTGTCAGTTGCCCTAGGCACCCAAAACATACTGCTGGGGAGGTTCGCATGACTGCTCTTGTGGCTTCCCTTAGCTTTCCTGTCAGAAAGTCATTTTTCCATGGGGAAGCAAAGAAATCTGCAGAGGACATGAATTCTGCGCATGTGCAGTGGTGCAGAATTCCCTCAGAAGTAAAGAGTACACTATCATTCAAATTTATTTGAGCATAAGCTTTCATGGGCTACAGCCCACTTCATCTGATGAAAGCTTATGCTCAAATAAATTTGTTAGTCTCTAAGGTGCCACAAGTACTCCTGTTCTTTTTACGGATACAGACTAACACGGCTGCTACTCTGAAACTTGTCACTATAATTCAAAAGCATATAGAACACAAGACAAACTGACTTCTGACTACAGAAAGATTTTCCAATACTGTTGATATAAGGATGAATGCTTATAACTCAAACCACTGAATTAATATTAATTAACTATCATTTCACCAGTGAGAGTTAATTTTTTAATCATGCTCATCTCACGATTTTAAAATCTGCTGTGAAAGTGTTCTTAAAACAAATATGTGCTGAGTCACCATCCAAGACTGCTATAACATGAAATATATAGCAGAACGCAGGTAAAACTGAACAGGAGACATACAATTCTCCCCCAAGGAGTTCAGTTGCAAATTCAATTAAGGCTTTTTTTTTTTTAAACGAGTATTATCAGCATGGAAGTATGGCCTCTGGAATGGTGGCCGAAGCATGAAGCGGCATACGGATATTTAGCATATCTGGCATGTAAATATCTTGCAACACTGGCTACTAAAGTGCTATGTGAATGCCTGTTCTCACTTCCAGGTGACATTGTAAATAACAAGCAGTCAGCAGTATCTCCCGAAAAGGTAAACAAACTTGTCTGTCTTAGCAATTAGCTGAACAAGAAGTAGGACTGAGTGGACTTTTAGGCTATGAAGTTTTACTTTTTTTTTTTTGTTACTCAAAAACAAACAAACAATCTACATTTGTAAGTTACACTTTCATGATAAAGAGATTGTACTACAGTACTTGTTTGAGGTGAAATGAAAAATACTATTTCTTTTGTTTATCATTCTTACAGTGCAAATGTTTGTAATAAAAAATAATATAAAGTGAGCATGGTACACTTAGTATTCTGTGTTGTAACAGAAATCAATATATCTGAAAATGTAGAAAAAAATTCAAAAATATTTAATACATTTCAGTTGGTATTTTATTGTTTAACAGTGCGATTAATCGCAATTAATTTTTTTTAGTTAATCACCTGAGTTAAGTGTGATTAATCGACAGTTCTAGTTGTGAATACACTATATCCATCAATGCAGCAAAGCTAAGTGTCTACAGAAAATCAGGTTGGTTTAACTACATTGGTCAGAGGTGCAAAAAATCCACACCCTGAGCAGAGTTGTTAAACCAATTTAAGTCTCCTTGTAGACAGCACAAGGTCAACAGAAGAAATCTTCCATCAACCTAGCTACCGCCTCTTGGGGAAGTGGACTGCCTATACCAATAGGAGAACCCCTCCCATCACAATAGTGCAGCCATGCTGCTATAGCGTTTTAATCAGACATACCCTGTGATATGAACGGAAGAGACAGCAAGCAGGTGTGAAGAGAGAGGAAGAGGAAAAAGTGTTGTTGGGTGGGAGCTCAAGCACATTTGGCAATATTGGCCCGGAATCAACCCAAAAGATATTTCTAAACACACCAGGGCAACAAAAGTGTTTTTAAGATTTTTTTTAAAATACCGATTCACACTATTTCAAGGGTGCTCTATTAAGAAAACAAGTTACCGTATATACTCGTTCATTAGCCCGTTCGTTTATAAGCCGAACCCCCAAGATGGTTAGGTAAAAATAGCAAAAACTGTATGACCCTTTCATAAGCCGATCCTATATTTCAGGGGTTGGCAAACTTTGACTCCCGGATGTCAGAGTAAGCAGCTGGCGGGTCAGGACGTTTTGTTTATTTGGAGCGTTATTTGGAGCAGCCAATGGGAGCTGCGGGAATGGCAAACCGCGGCCACAGGGAGCTGAGGGGCTCCATGCCTGCAGACGCTCCAACAAAACAACAATGTATTAGATATTCAATTCAATGATTCCATAGAGTTTAAAATCATCAAATTTTGGTGTAGACCCATTTATAAGCCGACCCCAGCTCTTTGATGCGTCACTTTTTTACCAAAAATATTCGGCTTATGAACGAGTAATATATACGGTAATTAAAAATATCAGTGTTTCTTTAAAGGGAAATACAAGTAAAGGACACTGAGAAAGGGGTAACAAGATAATGCAAGAACAAGACAAAGTGATAACAGCAAGAACTACTAAATAGAAGAATCAAGGTTCGCTGCACTAATCTAGACTTCACACAAACTAAGTTCTGCCAAGCCTTTTTTTTTAAATGTCATTCCCTGTTATTTTTCCACTGACACAGGGTTATTTTCTGACTATGCATCCGAAGAAGTGAGGTTTTTACCCACGAAAGCTTATGCCCAAATAAATCTGTTAGTCTTTAAGGTGCCACCAGAGTCCTTGTTGTTTTTGTAGATACAGACTAACACGGCTACCCCCTGATACAGGGTTATTTTCTGACTTAACTACTATATGATCCACCAATTTAGGACTTAATAGCTTTGGGGCAATCCTGCACATTTACATACACTGAACATTAAGCATGCACATAAGTGCATGCAGGATTGGGTCTTTAAGGTCCTCGTCACAGCTGTTCAGCATCTGCTGGATACTACTTGGGTAAACTGATCAAAATCAGGAGAGCACAGGTTGGTAGAAATGACCACTCAAGGCAACTAAACTGTATTTCCTAGGAACATGTACATAAACTTAAAACTCAAGTTGTGGAGCTAGAATATTGTGCTTTGTACCACTTGATGATTACCTCTTCTGGTCATTCCTTCTGGGGCTCCTGGCATTGGCCACTGTAGGAAGACAGGTACTGGGCTAGATGGGCCTTTGGTCTGACCCAGTATGGCTGTTCTTATGTACCATTTGGTTTTGAGCTTTCTGGCTCATGAGTTACCAGCAGGACTGTAGCAGGTGGGGGTTATAATGCTATTGCTGTAATTTCAACTATATATGCACGTATAAGAGTTGGGCCTCAACCGCTGCCTGTAATACTGACTAATACTATCTCATTATTTCCTTGTACCTGCCCATCCATCTGTATCCACATATCTCCCTCTGGGGAAAGGCTAAGGAAGGGGTTCTCAAACTGGGGGTCGGGACCCCTCAAGGGGTCACAAGGTTATTACGTGGGGGGGTCACAAACTGACAGACTCCACCCCAAGCCCCACTTTGCCTCTAACATTTATAACGGTTTTAAATACATAAAAAGTGTTTTTAATTTATAAGGGGGGGGGTCGCACTGAAAGGCTTGCTATGTGAAAGGGGTCACCAGTAGAAAAGTTTGAGAACCACTGGGCTAAGGGAACATACATAACAAAAATGCGGCCCCCTCACTTACTGCACCAGTGGAAGGTGCGCAGATGCTACGGTGAAGCCTGCGGTGTAAAACCCCAATCAGAATACAACCTGTACAGCTCAACGTGCTTTACAAAGGAGATAAGCACATCATTCTCTCCCCCCCCCGCCCCCCGTTTTTTTAGAAAGGAGAAAATTGAGGCACGGAGAGCGGAAGTGACTTGGCCAAGGTCAGCCATTGGCAGAGCTGCAGCCCCCCTCCCCAGCTGCTGAAGTCCGGTCCCTAAGCGAACATAAGCATATGGCTGGTGACGCAGCAGAGACACTTGCACCTGCAACCCCCGCCCTGGCTCCGCTCCCCCTGCGGAAGCGCGGGGCGAGCCGGGCCCCCTGCCAAGCAGCAACAGGCGGAGAGCAGCGGCCCGCGACACCCGAGAAGACCCGCCTCAGGACTCCCGAAGGCATGTCCCGCCCCGTGCCCGAGGCGGACCCGGCAGACCCCCGCGCTGCGGCCCGGGCGCGGTGCGGGCAGAGCTGGGCGCAGACAGCGGCCCGTGTCCCGGCGCTTCCCCCTCCACAACGGCAGGGGGCGCAGCCGCCAGGCCCCGCTGCCCGGCTCGGGCTGACCCCGCGCCCCGCTCCTCACCTGCAGCGCCCGCACTCGGCCCGCCTCACGCAGCGCTCCACGGGCAGCTCCCACAGACCCTCGCAGCCGCCATCTTCCCGCCCCGCTGCTGCCTCCACGGGCCCTTCCGCGGCGCCCGACTCCTCGCTCCCAGGCACTGCCGTCTCCATTTCGCCGCCGGCTAGGCAGAGCCAGGGCTCAAGGCTGCGCTGTGGGAGGTAGCCGCCAGGTGGCGCTAAGAGGCCGCGAAAGGCGGTGGTCGGTTGGGAGCCTGGGTAAGGCCGCGGGGCCCCGTCCGGGGGGGGGGGGAAGGAGGGGTCAAGCGACTATCGCGGAACCGCCCCCCGGGCTGTTCAACCAATCACAAGGCCAGATAGGGTCACTATTCCCGCCTTGTGGGGGGGAGGGGCGGTAGCTGGTTGTCCCGGTCCGGAGGTGCCATCGGGGAGCGAACGGGAGAGGTGGGGCTGGGTGGTAGAAGCTGCGCAGCCCCCTCGAATTGCGCCAGAGACGCGCCCGGAGGAAGGTTCCCGTGCAGCGTCTGTGAGGCCGGGGTACACTGCGAGCCGCGTGTGAGAGCTGGGCGTTGCTGTAGCGCCCACTACCGTGAAACTGACTAGACATCCTGGGCAGGTGTGCGTATCTGCATTGGCCCAGAGTTACTCCGGATTAATGCCACGTGTGGTTGTACTGGTTCTGGAAGCAGGCTGCGTTATTTTGCATTAGTTTAATTCGCTTTGTTGTTAATTTGTGTTAGCGTAGTCCACATCTGGAGCTAATTCAAAGCTGACTTTATTCCATTTTAGCATTTATATGTAGACAAACATACATACGTCTGCATCTGTGCTATAGCATATTCTGGTAGAGACTGTAGTGTAGGCATACCCTATGTGCAAATCTTTGCAGGATCAGGCCATTAGTGAAAAGTAGATGGCGGGGTAATTAATTTTTGATAAATTCAGTTTATTGTTAAGTTAAGTAACTTGATAATAGTCATAAAATGCTGAAAGACAAACACCCAGTGGGCAAACACTTTTAATAAAACAACACCTTCAGAAGATGAGCCTGGGAACTTAAATTCATAACTCTGCTAGCCACTAAAAATCATGGATTTTAAAAAAAAGATACTGGCTTTGTGGCTCATTACAACAATCTAACCCACTAACCCTCCTTATTCCTATCACTGCAGAGGTGTTTACTACCACTGTCACCTGGAATGATTGCTTGCAATGCATGTTAACTAATATACCCATATCTGTTCCACCCTTGTATTTTTCTGAGACACTCTGAATACCTTTCCCAGACCTGAAGAAGAGCTCTTTGAAAGTAAAAGAACTTGTCTCTTTCACCAACAGAAGCTACGGTGCTGCAGCACTGTAATGTAGATGCTTCCTACACCGACAGAAGGGTTTTTTTACATTGCTATAGGTAATCCACTTCTCTGAGCAGCAGTAATTAGGTCAATGGAAGGATTCTTCAGTCAACTTAGTCACATCTACACTAAGGATTAGGTGGGCATAGTTACAGTGCTCAGGGAGCTGCATTTTTCAACCCCCTGAGTGCCAGAGCTATGTCAACCTAACTTTTAAGAGTAGACCAGGTCTTAGTCCACACTGTCCCCTCCCTATCTCATCTCAATGAAAAGAGCCCTCACCTAGCATATAAACATTTTGTTTGTCTGTCTCTCATACTCATTTAGGGATTTGTCTATACTACAAATTCTTTGCCAGTGTAACTATGCTGGCCTGGCCCCCTAGTGGAGACTCAGCATTTGTCTCCTACCATAATTTAACCATTTCCTCGAAAGACATTAGCTATGCCAACGAGAGCACTCTTCTGTCGGCATGGTTGTGTCTACATTAGGGGAGGTTAGCTGTGTTAACTAGGGAGTGTGATTTTTTTGCACACTCCTAATCAACATAACTGTCCTGGCAAAACTTTGCAGACTAAGCCACACACACTGCCAAGTGCCCCTTCCAGATAAGGCCTTTCTGCAGCCTCTAATGATAACCACCTGCACAACTTCACACCAGGGTCTGTATCAACCTAGGATGAGGCTTATCGTTGATATTCTCAAATCTTGCAGGAAAAATCTAAAACCTCAGCTTCGATCTTAGTATAAGTTTAAAATAAAATTATTTTTAACCATTTTCTCTTAATATACAGTAAAAGCTGTGTTATCTGGTACTTTACCAACCGGAAAGCTCTATAAAGGCATTTCTGATCTTCATTGAAAGTCTGGATTATAGTCTGGTTGGTATATGACCAGCAGGCTCCCTACCTGGCTCCACATGGCTCCCTGGAAGCGGTGATATGTCCCTGCTGCTCCTAGGGGGAGGTGTGGCTAGGCGGCTCTGCCTAGCAGTGCGTCCACCCTGCCCAGAGCACTGCCTCTGCAGCTCCCATTGGGCGGAAACCATGGCCAATGGGAGCTGTGGGGGCAGCGCCTGCAGGTGGAGGCAGCATGCAGAGCGGTCTAGCTGTGCCTCTGCCTAGGACTAGCAGGGACAGGTCTCTGCTTCTGGGGAGCCACCCGAGCTGAGCGCTGCCCAGATCTGGCACCCCACAACCCTCCCACGTCCCTTCCCCGAGCCCCCTCTGGCACCTCAACTCCCTCCCAGAGCCTGCACTGAGAAGCTCCTCCTGCGCCCCGAGCCCTAAGCCCCCTCCTGCACCCAAACTCTCTCCCTCTTAGTTAACCGGAATTTTTAATTAACCAACACCACCCATTCCCACAACATGCCAGATAACACAGCTTTTACTGTACTTATGATTTTTCAAACTATGTGGAAAGGGAAAGTGATATTTCCCTCCTCCACGTGGGCATAGCCCCCAGATTGGCAGAGAGTTGAGTAAAAGAAAAGTAATAAACATGTTTTTGCAGAATATTTTCATCAAGAAGGGAATGGAAATAATAGTCTGTGACGGTCCACGCCCCTAAGGTTGCGGGCGGCGTGGACTATCCGCCACCGTCTGTCAACTAGCCCTTTAATCCAGGGCTGTATAGCCTACCGGCCAAAGTCTGTGACGTCCCCTTTGCCTCAAGGGGACGCAGCCTAACGGCAAGAGTCTGGAACCCAGCCCGTGGCT